TCCTCATGAATGACTAGCCTGATCGGATAGTCGAGGATCGTCTGCCAGAGCTGCAAAGCGGGAAGCGCTTCTTGGAAAAGGCTGTGAGCTAAAGACACAATCTCAGACTCTGTGGTACTTCGACTCACGGAAGTCTGGCGCTTGGACTGCTAAGTTTCTTAATAGAGGTTTTCAGGTAGATTTTAAGGGCAAGCCTCGGGAATTAAGGAATAACATCGGGAGGTTTACCCCGACTGGCTGAGGGAGGGACAAGCATCCGAACAAACGACGATGCACTAATATATATATATATATATATATATATACATATATATATATATGTATAACGTTTGCAGCGCTCAAACCGGTGGTACAGTAACCACCGTGGCTTCGAGTAGATTGCCTCTGACAACGATGATCCAAACACCTTCAACACAAAAACTCATCTGCAACCGATGGGACCCCGCATGACATTGCCATTCGGGTTCAGGTCATAATGCCCGGCGCCCATGGGGGCAGCTTCCCGGGGGCCGGCGCCCTTCACCCCGCAACAAATCATCTGTCGAAAACAGAACATGTAAGTGGAGCCTCCAGCGAGCTTACCCTGACCGCCCTGACCCAAACATGGTCATGTGGTCAAGTGTCAATCTGAAGAAATCTGTGCACACATTCTCGAACTGACGACCAGCCGACCGGCATTCCAATGTTTTTGCTTGCCGCTCCACAGCATTCTCGCAGTGCTGACAGATTTATCCCGTCTGTTTGTACAAGTGGCCCCTACAGCTGAAAGTCACTGAGTCGCTCCAGTCTTTGGCATCGGTAGCCGTAGCTGGCTTAAAGAAGTTTCTGACATCTTTGTTGGCTGGCTGAGACTGCATGGCTTGGATCATAGCGATGAGCTGTGGCTTAGTCTTCTTCTTGATCTTTTCTTCCGGCTCCTTCAGATGGGGTTTGCAGTTGAAGGATTAGCTTTAAGGCCTATGGCTTGAGGTTTAGGCTTAGGAGTTACCCCTGACCCATTCCAGCCCCTGAACCGTAAGCCACACTACACCGTTATGCCCCTTAGCCTATACCCTAAAGCCTGACCTCGTAGAGTACAAGGTTTAAGTGGTTTAGGGTTTTGGGTTTCTGTTTATGGACTCCTACCGCCTGTGACGTCGCTCGCCTGTCCTTCTTAACCCCCAAACCCAACCCTAAGACCTGAAACCCTAAACCCCATATACCCTAAACCCTAACCTCGGGGCTAAGGGTTTAAGGGTTTAGGGTTTAGGTTTAAGCGGTTTAGGGTTTTGGGTTTATGGACTCCTACCGCCTGTGACGTCGCTCGCCTGTCCTTCTTAACCCCCAAACCCAACCCTAAGACCTGAAACCCTAAACCCCATATACCCTAAACCCTAACCTCGGGGCTAAGGGTTTAAGGGTTTAGGGTTTAGGTTTAAGCGGTTTAGGGTTTTGGGTTTATGGACTCCTACCGCCTGTGACGTCGCTCGCCTGTCCTTCTAAAACCCCAAACCCTAAGACCTGAAGCCCCCAAACCCCATATACCCTAAACCCTAACCTCGGGGCTAAGGGTTTAAGGGTTTAGGGTTTAGGTTTAAGCGGTTTAGGGTTTTGGGTTTATGGACTCCTACCGCCTGTGACGTCGCTCGCCTGTCCTTCTAAAACCCCAAACCCTAAGACCTGAAACCCTAAACCCCATATACCCTAAACCGAAACCCTAACTTCGGGGCCCTCCCTAAAGATTTAGGGGCTTAGGGTTTAGGGATAAGCGGTTTAAAGTCTTGGTACACTTCTCGTGTCATCCTTGTGCAGGGGCCATGCTAATCTTCTCTGTGTCGTTCCAATTTTATCGGATGATCCCAGATTTCGGGTTTTGGGTTTGTGGGCTCCTACAGCCTTTAACGTCGCTCGCCTGTCCTCAGGGAAGGTTTGGTGAGGCTTTTTGGGTTTAGTTCTACGGTTTAGGGTCTATGGTGTCGCTCGCCTGTCCTTACTACACCACCAAGCCCGAAGACACCCGAAACCCCTATACCTTAAACCCTAGACTCGGGGCTATGGGCTTATGGTTTAATGCTTAGGAGCGCTGTGGATACAATTACGACTCTTTGGTAATGAACCTTTGCAGAGCATGTCTTCTTTTGGAAGTTGTTCAACAAGGACAAAACCCCAAGCCCAGGAGCCCCACGACACCTCCTGCGGGCCGTAGCTCAACAGCTTCTCGATGAGAGCATTTTTTTTCATCGAATCGAGGTCTGAGGCATCGGGATCGGTGCATGGGCCGGGCCACTTTAAGTTTGCATCCGCGATTTCGGGCTTACTGCCTTGAGTGCACAAAGGCTGAATGTTAAAGGACTCGCCGGAGCCGGAGCCTTCAGGAAACAACTGCGCTTTCAGACCGTTTCATCTTCAAGGCTTCAGGTTTGGGGTTTAGTCGGTTTTTAATGCAATGCAGTGAAAAAAGCTGCAGCCCACAATCCAGGGTTTCAGATACTAGGGCCTTGAGGCTGAACTAATGAACGTCACGTCGGCCTGCTTTCGTCGAAGGTTTGTCATCCTTCTTTTCACTCTGCCCCGGATCCTGACCTGACTCACGGGAGGAGACATCATGGTTTTAGTGACTTTAGTGGCAATGGTCTTACTCTGCTGCTGGGGATTCTCACCTGACTCACGGTGGGTGACATCCTGGTTTCGTGATTCGTGTTATACGCTCTCGGGTTTGCAATGTTCAGGGGCTTCATATTACGAAAATGCGAACACTCTGCTCCGGGATCGGAGCGATGAGACTGGAGGCTGTAGCCGCCCATGATCAACTATTCAGGGCTTCAAAGCGTGATGATTTCAGGTTTCAGATTTAGAAGTTCATGTACAGTGAACGCCTGGCTGCTCCTCCGTTACCTCCGTTGGTGCGCCCTTCTTCGTCTCACTCTGTAGGGGACTTTCCCCTGACTCATGGGTGACGTGATGATTTCGAGCTGCAGACTAGAACAACTTTTCAGATTGAACTGCAAATCGGCCTGGCAGCTCATCCCGTGGTGTGTCCTTCTTCATCTCACTCTGCGCGGGATTCTCACCTGACTCATGGGTGACATCAAGGTTTAAGGTTATAGACTTTCGGGTTTGCAATGTTCAGGGGCATCATGCTACGAAAACTGCGAGCACTCGAATTCTTAGCGATGAGGCTGAAGGCTGTGGTAGCTGTAGCCCACAACTCAGGGATTGAAAGCGTGATGATTTCAGGCTGCAGACTTAAAAATTCATTTAGGGTGAACGGCAAATCGGCCTGGCAGCTCATCCGTTGGTGCGTCCTTCTTCAGCTCACTCTGTGCGGGATTCTCACCTGACTCATGTGTGACATCAAGGTTTAAGGTTACAGACTTTCGGGTTTGCAATGTTCAGGGGCCTCATGCTACGAAAACTGCGAGCACTCGAGTTCTTAGCGATGAGGCTGAAGGCTGTGGTAGCTGTCGCCCACAACTCAGGGTTGGAAAGCGTGATGATTTCGGGCTGCAGACTTAAAACTTCATTTAGCGTGAACGGCAAATCGGCCTGGCAGCTCATCCGTTGGTGCGTCCTTCTTCAGCTCACTCTGTGCGGGATTCTCACCTGACTCATGGGTGACATCAAGGTTTAAGGTTACAGACTTGCAGGTTTGCAATGTTCAGGGGCCTCATGCTACGAAAACTGCGAGCACTCGAATTCTTAGCGATGAGGCTGAAGGCTGTGGTAGCTGTCGCCCACAACTCAGGGTTGGAAAGCGTGATGATTTCGGGCTGCAGACTTAAAAATTCATTTAGGGTGAACGGCAAATCGGCCTGGCAGCTCATCCGTTGGTGCGTCCTTCTTCAGCTCACTCTGTGCGGGATTCTCACCTGACTCATGTGTGACATCAAGGTTTAAGGTTACATACTTTCGGGTTTGCAATGTTCAGGGGCCTCATGCTACGAAAACTGCGAGCACTCGAGTTCTTAGCGATGAGGCTGAAGGCTGTGGTAGCTGTCGCCCACAACTCAGGGTTGGAAAGCGTGATGATTTCGGGCTGCAGACTTAAAACTTCATTTAGGGTGAACGGCAAATCGGCCTGGCAGCTCATCCAGGGGCCTCATGCTACGAAAACTGCGAGCACTCGAATTCTTAGCGATGAGGCTGAAGGCTGTGGTAGCTGTCGCCCACAACTCAGGGTTGGAAAGCGTGATGATTTCGGGCTGCAGACTTAAAACTTCATTTAGGGTGAACGGCAAATCGGCCTGGCAGCTCATCCGCTGGTGCGTCCTTCTTCAGCTCAATCTGTACGGGATTCTCACCTGACTCATGGGTGACATCAAGGTTTAAGGTTACAGACTTTCAGGTTTGCAATGTTCAGGGAGTTCAGGGGCCTCATGCTACGAAAACTGCGAGCACTGGAATTATTAGCGATGAGGCTGAAGGCTGAGTAGCTGTAGCACATGACCAACAATTCAAGGTTTCACAAGCTGAGCATTTCAAGCTTCGCATCCAGGAAATTTCACTAGGGCGAACGGCTGGTCGGCCTGGCTTCTCCTCCATTGCTGTGCCCTTTGTCTCACTCTGTTGGGCATTCTCACCTGACCCAGGGGCCCACGGACCACGGGTGATCTAACGTCTAGGTTTGCGGGTTTGCAAACTTCAGCTTCAGTGAGTTCAATGCTACCGGCCATAGTGTTTCAGGCTTCATGCAACGAAGATGCGACAACGTACATGCTCAAGGTTCGGAGCGATGAGGTTGGAGGTTGAAGCCCATGATTAACAATCCAGGGTTTCAAAACCTGATGATCTCAAGTTTCAGATTTAGAAGTTCATTTAGGGTGAACGGCAAATCGGCCTGGCTGCTCCTCCGATACCTCCGTCGATGCGTCATCCTTCGGCTCACTCTGATGGGGATCCTCTCCTGACTCATGGGTGACATCATGATCCATGGTTTCGTGTTATAGGCTTTCGGCTTTCGGGTTTACAATGACCAAGCTCAGGTTGCATTTAATGCATTCTTGAGGCCTTCCAAGCTAGGGCTAAGGCCAGAGTCTATAGCGCCTCGGTTTACGAAGACGGGACAGCTGTACGCTCAGGGTTCGGTCGTTCGGACCCATCGGGGACACTGGATACACTTGGATATACCCGCCTGTGTTTGCCGTCGTGTCCTTTTTGTCCTTTTTGCCCTTTTTGTCTTTCTTTTCCTTTTTGTCCTTCTTTTCTTTCTGGTCTTTCTTGTCTTTCTTTTCTTTCTTCGCTGAGCCAGGCTTCTCATTCTTCTCTGGTTTTGCTTGCTTCCCCTCCTCGACCTCCTCGTCATCCGCTTCGTCCACCTCGTCATTCTTCCGCTTCCTGCCCTTGCCCTTGGCCTTGGCCTTGGCCGTGGCCTTTCCCTTGGCCTTGGCCACTGCCACGATCGCATTCTTGGCATCGTCATCCTGCGGCAACAGACTTTACGTGTGGCTCCAGGCTTCAGGTGGGCATTACAGGCATTACATCAAGATTGGAAGGCTCGGGACTAAGGAGTGAGCAAGGACTCAATGTCTTTGTCCTCGCGTGGCTCATCGGCTTCTGACTTATCGCCATTGATGTCGGAGTGTTGTTCATCGCATTTTTTTGATTGTGCATTTTCGCCATCCATGTCATCATCAGAACCGGCTGCGGGGTCCCACTCAGCCCAAAGATTCTCAGCTGCATCCGTGCCCATTGACAGCAAGAACTGAGTGATGAGGTTCCTGATTGGGTGAAGTCACGGAATGACTCGGAATGACTATGCGACTATGTGACAATACAAACTTGTAAAGAACTGCCTCCAAACTTAAACCCTGCTGACGAGGATCGTCGGATCGGATTCGGCCAATGTTTTAAGACCCGGCAACGTCTTGTAAAAGACATAGTGCGAAGGCACCCTGACACCGAAGTTGTGACTCGTGATGGCCTTTTCTGTCATGACATACGCCGGGGGGACCATCAGGACATCGCCTGGGACAATGCATCCACCAAGCGGCTCGACGTACCCCAGCTCGTCATTCTCATTAGTGAATGATTCCCAGCGCTTGCAACACTCTTGCAGCGTCAGAGGATCCGCATTCTCATTATTCTGACATTGTTCGCAGCCGGTGACGAGATCTTGAACCCGTGCCAGCGAAATCAATCTATGACCCTCCGCTTGGATCTGCACCATAGCACTGCCGCCATGCGAGCTGAGGGTAGCCACACTGCCTTTCTTCAACCCGTACAGGGTCGGGAGACAGTATTTGTCCACGAGAGCCTTTTGTGATTCTGCGTCTTTGTTTTTTGTGTTCAGGAAATCACGCAGAGATCCAACACCAGCATCGATCACAGGCTCCCTCAAGCGAACATCGTTGATCTCTTCGAGTTCGTTCTGGACACGCAATGCCAATGCAAGGTCTTCGCCATAGTCAAAATCCGCTTGTGGCACCGGCTGCTGCACGCGGACCTTGTCGCCGCTTTCGAATGCTTGGCAAGCGTCGGTGATGAAGGCCTTCAATAGGTTTAAAATCGATAAATTCGCTGCCGTCAACTCTTTCCCTTCGAGGGAAGTGTCCTGAGGATAAACTGATGCAGGAGTTAGGGATGATTCGAATGGAAATCAAGCTTGAGGATCGCAGTGCATGCAACATATGACTCCACAAAATTACACGGAGTGAAATGCAACGACTGACTGACAATGGGGCTCACTGATGAGGCTGAGTCCAGGCTGAGGTCAGCGCAAGAATTTTCTTCACGGAGGCCCGGCGAAGGCGCACCAACACCGGGTTGCCACTCACGAAGTACCGAACGCCTTCCTCCTTAGAATTGAAAGTAGCAAGACTCACAACGAGACATCACTCACAGAACACGCCACCGAATACCAGACTGAAGAGGCCGAGCCTTCGAGTTTTCGATACCCTGAAAAGGCCTTGGGTTTGACTGTCAACCGCCGTGAATGCGAATGAGGTTCAATCGTGTCAGCGACCGGCACTTGGAAATCTTCGAAGGTGCATTTCAAGATGTTCGGATCCGCATCCGTCAGCTCAGACATGAGTGATTTGGCCGATGATCTTCGTCTCTTCCCGCTCCGATTGTCTTCACCTCCCTCATCCTCATCTTCCTCGCCATCCTTCTCGGCTTTCTTCGCTGCCTTGGCTTTCCGAGCTTGAAGTCGTTGATCTCGTTCAGCTTCCTTCTGACGCTTCTTCTGCAAACGCTGGGTCTCCAATCGCTGGGCCTGCGGCAGCAGCAATCACTAATGCCGAACCGAGCACCTACCGTCGACAGTGAGTCATGAATGATGCACTTACCACCGTGATGATTCAAGCCGCCTTCGCTTCGGCTTCTTTAGCCTTCCGAATCGCGAGCTTGGAGGAGCTATACTGACGGGCTCCGCTTGTAACCGCTTTGGCCACCTTTTTCAAGGTCTCCAGCGACTGCTTCTGCAACTCGAACTTCTCTTGCACCATCTCTGCCGAGCCAAGCAAATCGGCCTTGGCACGGAAGAGCGCGATGTGGCCAATTGTCCAAGTCTCGCCCATGGCCTGCTGATCAGCGAAGTAATCATCCTTCTTCATCAGCTCAGCTAGCTCTCGGCTGTCTTCCTCTGCGGCGGCGACGTTTTCCCCTCGCGTGCAGCACATCGTGCCTGACTTTTGAGGCAATGACGGCAGTGACGAAAACAATGAGGGCATCGTTCGATCTGGTAACGACTCGACGACTCACGATACATGAACACAACACCGTCACAAATCCTCACCCAGCCCAGTGGCCATCTCCAGACGGCTCCCAAGTTCGACCAATTCTGCTGTTTCCGGATCATCCCCAGCTTCCTGGGCCTGCAAAGCTCTTAAAGTGAGCCACACACATGTTGGTGAGAGACCTGGCGAATTGATGTATGTGGTGATGCCATAAACCAAAACCTTCGGACAATCGAGCCTGATTGAGGACCCCTATGGCTTCGGCGATGGCTTTTTCGAGATCGCCCTTCACATCGTTGAACAGTTTGAGCGACGTCCGTCTGCATGTGATGGCTGCTGCAACAGGGCAAAGCTTTTTCTCAGCCCTTCCTTTCGCTTCCGCTTTGGGCTGTCGTTTCTTGGTGTTGCCTTGGCCTTGGCCGCCTTGGCCCTGGCCCTCCCCGGCCCCAGAGCCACATGCAGCAAAGAAAGAAGATGTGTTTGTGATGGCGAGTGAGGGAGTGCCGCCACTGCCAGATGATGAGGCAGCACCCGGACCACGCTGCACATCTCCACGCATCAGGTCATCACTATCATCCAGCAGCCTGCTGAAGCGATCGTTCATTGTCTGCTGCAATGTCGCGAGCTGCTGCTCAGCTGGGGCATGTCATGATGGATCAACCGTGGTGTGGTTCAAGTTCGTTTCACCCCTTTAGCTGCTGTAAAATGCAACCCCTTGCCTGGATTCCGCTGTGTTGTCACATTGCCCCGTGCTTGAACGGACTCGTCGTCATAGACGGAAACCTTGCGCTTAGCAATCATGGGGACGTCCAAGCACCAGACCTTGCAACATTTGATTTGGGTCGACGGGGTGACGGGGCATATGGTCATCATCGGAACAAACGCAATGCACGGACTTACTTGTTTTCGTTTGCTTAGGCCGAGTAGCGGACTCACCTGTCGGTAGCCCATCTGACCCCAATTTGGGGACTTGTGTCTTATTCACTTTGATGTCGCTGAAGTCATGGCGCCATTTTCGGATGGCAGCCTCCTTGTTCAGGCCTGCAGCACACTAACACAAAGCATGGTCGACAGAGGCACGTGTAAATTCGACTCTGTTTACATAGTACATGCCGACGAGAACCGCTCGTAGGAAGGAGCCTTGGTCATGTAATACTCAATGAAATCCTCGTAGCACATGGGATGATACTCCATGTTGGAGCTTCTGCGCACACCTTTGTGCAGTCCATTGAAACGTTTTCTTCTCTGCACTTGCCGCTGCTGCCGTGGGCCTCCCACGAGTTGACGTGTTCCTGGGACTCTGGACGGACCGCCGACCGCCATGAAATTGTGCTATTCTTTTATGCAGTCACAAAGTCCTGGCAACACGACTCGCTCCAGGACTGCATTGCGTGATCGTGCAGCCAAGTCGCTGAGCCAACCACTCACGGAATAGTTTCAAATATTCCTCGGGTTTGCTGACCATGAGCTCCAGCAATTCGTTAAGTTTGCCTGCGCGGGCGGCCTGATCATGAAAGCTTCTCTGCTTGCCCACATCCTTGGCACATACGGATACGGGTTTACCAGGTTTCGCTTGCGTTGGAGTCCCGCACACCGCGCACGGGCACATCTTCGCCAACGTCCTCCGCAGTGTTGCACATGGAGCGATCTGATTGCCCTTGTCCTCATTGCCCTCTGGAGCCTCAGCCTGAGCCACCTGAGGAGCTGAAGCCTCAGATGGAGTCGAAGTTGCTGGAACCTGAGCAGCCTCATTTGGGGCAGGAGTCTGCCCCGCATCCGGGCCGTTGTTGAACTCCGACATTTCTGGTTGCATGAGAGAGTCGAGATGTTGGAGTAGCCCAGTGTTCTCGTCCCCGGCGCTCAATAATTCATCCACATCGCCGTCTGGCGTCGACATGGCCCCTGGGCCCTTTGCGCCCTGACCCTCAAGTGAAACTGTGAGCTTGGCAGGTTGTCCAAGCCTACATGCTTCATCAAAGTGACCTGTTCCAGGTGTTTTCCTCTGTGGCACGTTGTGGCTGCACTGCACATCATGTCATCATGTTTTGAGCACACACTACGGTAGCCGGCACCAATGCAATCGAAACTACGATGCAGAAGCTACAGCTGCTGCACACATCAATGAACATGAACATGACAAAGCAGACTAAACAGTTCGATCGTACAGAGTTTTGCATGCCTCTTGAAGCAATGTTTGCGAGTTCGCGACACATATCTTCATGGACCATGGAGCTCGGCATTCGCACGTGCAGTCGAGCTCATAGCGTTCCTCAGTCTCATCGGTCGATCAGTCGTCATCATCAGTGAGTCATTAAACATCATAGATATCATGCAATCATCCATGGAATCACACAGCACCTCAGCCTCAGCGCGACTCGAACAGAATCCAACCATCCAACTCATCCAACCAGCCAAGTCGCTGAGCCAGCCAGTCACGGAAGATCTCGAAATATGTCTCAGGATGATCGCGCATGACTTCCAACAAATCGTCAAGTTTGCCTGCACGGGCGGCCTGATCATGAAAGCTTCTTTGTCGGCCTCTGTCGCGGGCACAGATGGCTGTGATTTGACCGGGTCGCATGTCAGTCGGAGTCCCACACAGCACGCACGGGGACCTCCTTAGCCTTGCCCGTGCCGCCCGTGCCCCAATGCTAAGGCCAGCCGAAGCCGTCGAAGCACCAGGCGCTCGTGTATTAAGTCCTAGAGGATTTTGTTCGGCCTCTGCATCCCTTGACTCAGTAATGCCAGCAACCCCGGCGGCGGCACCCACGACCTGCTCCTCTGAGTCTGAGTCATGAGCCTCTGTTAGGCCCGACATGGGCCCTTCACTGATCAAACTGTGAGCTCGAACGACTTTGCACATGCAGTAGCAATAGATTATACCAGTGTGGGTTGCCGTCCCGAAAACGAAGCCTGACTTACTCTGCATCATTTTACTCTGACTTGCTGAGACTTGTAGAGATGTTCAAATGCTACGCGAAAGCCTCCCACTCCGAATGAGTCCCAGCTTCGGCTATCACTGCCATCATGCGAACTTGACTGAGCAGCTAAGACTACAGTCTACAAAGCAGCAAAGTTCAGCAAAGCAGACTCAGCTATGCGATCGCACGACCCTCTTCAATCGCACACCTCTCTTGAAGTTGGTCGCTTGGCACTCTAAGAAGGCACGCAGTTGCGCACCACATCACTCGTCTCGGCGTGGCATGCATCGCAACCTGCAGGTGTTGACCCAAGTTTTGGACTGGTTTTGTAGGATCCCAACCATAAAGCAAGTTGACCCCAATACAACACGACACCAGAATGTTTAGAGTTCGGGAGGCTCTGTGATGTTTTTGTTTAAGGATTTGGGAGTCACGAGTTTTGGGGTTGGGATTGAGGGCAGAGGGTTTGCAGTAGGAGATGGGCCTATGGATTTAGGGTTGAAGGCTTTATGCAGTGCCGTAGAATAAGTAAGACTTTGTACCAGTAGGTTGTTTGGAATTGAGGCGTAACTGTGCCACCCCATCTGCATCCTAGGCAGTTTTAAGTGCTTCGGAATTCTTAAGAAGATGAAGCTTTCAAAACCCAAACCCCTAAACCCTCAACCCCTAAACCCTAAACCCCTAAACCCTGTTCCCTGAAGCCCACGCCGCCCAGCCGCACTCACTGCGCACGTTCGGTATCACCCGGCAACCTGGGCCCCAGAAAAATCTGGAATTCTGACACGAAAGGCACAACAGATCTCGGAACGGCATCTGCTCTGCTGGCAAGTGACATCATGTTTTGCGGACTGTGATGGTTGCCAGCCATGATGCATGCACTGACCCGACGACTGTCATGTGGAATGCCTGCGACACGGAAATTGTATGGACTTGCAAGACTTGTACCCTTTCACACCCCCCCCCAGATCATGCTGGTTGCAAGCAAGCAGCATTCCCTGACATTTGTTTGCATTGTGTGTCAGAAGGCAGTTTCTGGAAATGTGGCCATTTTCCATGGCTCGGGACCTGCCAGTCATACATAGGAATGCCCATCGAGCACATGTGCTCCTGCAAAACAATCATCATCGCGGGGACCCAACAGCAGTAACATCGTGGACATGTTGATTCGCGCCAGTCCTTGGGGAGAAGATATCGCTCTTCAATCTCGGAGGCGGAGACATCATTGTCACATGTATCGAGAATCCACATCATACCATTCCTGAGGAGCGTCGGAAGATAGCGGTTCACGATCGGGCGAGCTCCGGGATCCTGCAAGAGGTTGACGATCACGTGCCTCGAGCCTGTGTCAGGGCCAGGGCTGGTCGGCGCGAATGACACAAATCACATGCCGTGACATGGCCACGGCCAGTTACTCTCCGAAGCAGCTGGCCTCGCTTGCCAAGCTTGCGAACCCTCTTAAGGTTTCTGTATTGCTGCACCCACATCACCTTGTGTCCTGTCAGTGACATTGTGTGTGACATGGAAGCAGAAGCATCGCCACGCCCTGTGATTCAATGGCAGGTCCTGGCAGCAAATCCTTGAACCGAGATCGCACAGCTTTGAACTTTGCATCTGCCAAGCGTTTTCTTTCGAGCTCAATTTCCTCCTGACGGGAGGAGTTGGACACATCAAGGCATCAAGGAAGCAACGCTGAGGGATCCCGACAATTTGGGACAGAGCAGCAGATGCTTTTAAACAGTGTCGGAGGGTCGGTCCTGGGAAAATCAATCTGACATACACCTACTTAGTAGCTACGTAGCTACGGACCTGTTGTGACATGTGATTTCACGGAGGCGGCAGTCGGAAGCCTAAGGCTGTAAGAGTCCTGCGATCCTGATTGCTAAGAGATTTGTGTGACCCAATGAGTGGCATGTGTAATGTGTAAGTGCACGGGACAAGATCGTGGCCGTCTGTGACAGCTACACTACTGAGTTTGACATCATGTATCGATTGTATCGACATCAGACATCTCGAACAAAACGGAAACAAAAGTGATAGAACAACAGGGCAACATCTCCGATGCATTCCGTCATTGTCAACCCCGTGTCCCTGCACTCCTGTGGGGCACAATACAACTTCTGGACTGGCATGACAGGCTGGCGATACAGCTTTGAGATGATATGCGCCCCAGGAGCAGCCAGAACCACTGCATCCTTACGCGTGAGGATGGTGTACAGCCTAAGTATCCGGCTGAAGGGCTGATGGGCTGGACTGTTGACTGGTGAACTGCTGACAATTGACCGAGAGTGCAAATGAACAAATGATTAATCAAGTCACCTTGGTCTCACAGCTGGCCACCCAAACATGTGTTGTGATAGAAGCCAGGAACCCGAAGTAAGCTTGCAGGGGCTGTCGGTCGATGATTCTGGTTTCCGGAACTTGTGGCAAACATAATCTGGCAGATATCGCGCAAAAACCCACTGAGCGAATGCACTGGTGCATTCATGCACAACTATGTCCTTAGTTGATTCAGCCCGGAGGCTTTCGTTTTTTGTGCATATCAACGGCCCGAAAACGTGTTGCCCGGCATCCGGCTTGGTGTGTAGAACGTCTGCAAGCCATATGGCCAGCTGCCGTGAGGACGGGCCGACAAGCCCCATTCGATTACCTCAGTGACACTGGCTCACTGGCACCGCCGGTGTTGGGCGGTTGGTAGTGGGAAGGCAAGGCTCCGATGACGGAATGATCGGTGCAAGACGAGCCTGCAATGTGCACCCTGATTTTCTTCACCCCATCGCCATTGCATTTCCCAGAGTTCTGATCTGCAATCATACATCCATATGGTGTCAGGCATTCCTGCAGCATTGGCAACACAACCACACATGCAACATAAGGAAACACCTTCTCGAAAATAGTTGGAGCTTTCGGCAGCTATGTTTTCTTTTACAATGGAAATGCAAACCCATAGCATGGGCACATAATTCTTGCCCAGCAGCATGGCCGTGTAAGCAACATGTGGCTTTCACCGCCATGCAAGAAGGATTGCTGAGTATCTGCATGTACTCATCCAGCAAACGTTCACCGTAATGTGCGCTCAATTCCCGCCCAGGTTGCGAGTCCTCTTCGAAGTCTGAGAAACCTTGACAACATACAAACCAATCAACCAGTAACACTGAACTCGCCACCAGGACCGAAAACAAACTCAGGATAACAAAAAAATATATCGCAAGATTGTAATGTGCACCGCTCCAGGCAGTACAGAATTTCAAGCGACATATGCCGATATACAACTCCGGCATACGACTAGAACTAGGAGTACGAGTGCAAGATGCCAAGCAACGAAGTTCAACATTCAGCTGAGTGATCACTGAATTGCAAGCTTGGCTTAACAACGATCTCGGCTGCGGCTTTATGTACTCCTCCAAGTCGTTCAGAAGATGTTGCGGCATCAACTCCTGGGCGTCTGGTAGGTTGGTGCTGTGGCAGGTAACACGAAGTTACGAAGCTAAATTGCATGGCTGTGTATGATTTGGAATACATGATGGCTGACTCTCAAGCCCAAAGACTGAAGCCCGGATCACCTATATGACAGTCAGATTGCAGCGCTTATCCAACCCAGCACATTTGCATTTTTATCCACGTGGCTACTGGCTACTGGTTACCTTTACACCATGGTACACATGATCTTAGTTCTTACAACGATTACAGCAGCAACCCCGGGCACTGGACAGGGCATAGTATCAACACGATACACTGGTTGCGGACTGGCTGCAGGATGTAAGGTCTTGAGTGCCTTCTGCCGCATCTTGTCGCATTCGCAGGCAGTGCGACAGACCACATGACCGGCACGCAGCACCACGCCTATTGCACGTCAGTGTCAGGTGTAGTATAAGACTATACGGTACGGGAATCACACAACTGATGCAAACAAACAACTGTGCTGCCTGCAACATCTGTCATTGCTGCAAATTGCTGTTTCAGAGCGACGGAACCGTTACATGTCCCAGCAAACGCTTCATGAATCTCAATCTTGCACGTCTGTGCAAAATCCTTGAATCTCTGTGCCGTAACTGCAGACAGCTCTGTGCCATCCAAGCATAGAGTGTGTGCATTGTAATCTGCCCATTCGAAAAGATTCTTCAATGATGTCGGCCCAGGAGGCCCTAACGCAATGTTGCGTTTCACCTCACACAGACTCACACTGCAATCGCCAGTCGAAGTGAAAACGTTTTACCAAAAAATGTAAGTCTTAGCACAGTGGAAAACATGTTGTCAACAGAGCTCACACGAAATACAACAAGGCCCTGGCATCTGTGTTTTCAGCCAACTCAATCACGTCCAGTTCCGTTACCTCTTTGTTGTCATTCACAGTCGCTTGCCCATGTGAGCCGTCCGACGATTCATCGTCGTCGCTGGTGTTGTCACCACTGCTGCCACTGCTCGAACTGCTGGAAGAAGTGGTGTCATCGCTGTCGTTGTCATTGTCACTAAGCGACATGATGCGGCCCGGAGTCCGGAGCAGGCCACGCAAAGAAAGGTTACATTACATATCACACCGGGACCTAGCCTCAACAAGCCTCAAGCTTGATGATCGGCGATTTCGGAAGGAACTGCCGTGGGGCTGTCTGAAACTATGATCGTGGTGGTATGATAACGTATCAAAGCTCACAGCCTTCACCCTGCTCTAACTATCGCCATTTCCCAAAGGAGGGAGTGTGGAGATGGGTGACACCACAGGTGCCCCAGGGACCATGGCTTTGGGCTCTGGGGAACACCGCCAGGGGCCCCCAGCGAGGAGGATGCTCTGAGGAACGAAACTATGCATTTTTTCCTGATAGGGGGGGCAGGGAGAATTGAGTTGTTTTTGGTTGCAAGAATGAAAGTTCGAGCGCCCGGACTTTGCGATGTACGTTTTGAGCTTTTTGTGGTTGCAAGAATGAGAGTTCCAAAGCCAGGGCTTTGCGATATACGTTTTGAGCTTTTTGTGGTTGCAAGAATGAGAGTTCCACAGCCAGGGCTTTGGGATATATGTTTTGAGCATGATAGGGGGGTGGCAGGGCAGGGTGGAAATGGAATGGATGGGGTGGCGCCATGGGTGCACAAGGATACCACCGTGCCCTTTTTTCTCAAAAAAAAAGTGAGGAATGGGGACCTCGACCCAAAAGGGTGGTCTGGTGAACGAAACTATGCATTTTTTGATGGGGGGTGCGGGGTGGAAACCGGGAGACCCAGGCGGCTCCCCAAAGGTTTTTTCGGGAGGGTCTGTAGAACGGGTCACCTCGACCAGAAGGATGTTTTGCCGAACGAAAATATGCCCTTTTTTTGATGGGAGGGCGGGGTGGAAATGTGGTAAGGGGGTGAGCCCGGGGCCGAACCACCTTCCCACAGCCAGGGCCTGTGGCCGGTGGTCATTGAGGCGACTCCAAAGGTCCACCGGTGGAGGGGGCTCTAAGGAACGAAACTATGCCCTTTTTTTGGAGAGAAGTAGTGCTAAGGGTGTTCTGGTGAACGAAACTATGCCCTTTTTTGATGGGAGGGCGGGATGGAAATATGAACGAAACTATGTCCTTTTTTCATGGGGGGAGACCACCCATCACCCAAGCGACTCCAAAGGTCCCCCGGTGGAGGGGGCTCTGGGGAACGAAACTATGCCTTTTTTTGGAGAGAAGTAGTGGGGTGGCGGCGCCAGGGACCTCGACCCTAAGGGTGTTCTGGTGAAAGAAATTCTGCCCTTTGTGGATGAAAGGCGGTGTGGAAATGTGAACGAAACTATGTCCTTTTTTGATGGGGGGAGACCACCGATCACCCAGGTCACCCAGGTAACTGCAAAGGTCCTCCGGTGGAGGGGGCTCTGAGGAACGAAACTATGCCTTTTTTTTGGGAGAAAGGAGTGGGGTGGCGGCGCCAGGGACCTCGACGAGAAGGGTGTTCTGGTGAACGAACCTATGCCATTTTTTGATGGGGGGGGGCAGGGCAGGAGGAAAATGGAAGGTGCGGCGTCGTCCGAAGTGGTGCACCGGTATACCACCGACCACCCAGGCGGCTCCAAGGTTCTTGGACGGAGGGGGCTTTGGGGAGAGAAAGGGGAAATGGTGGGATATGGGGGCGGTGCCGCCAGGGATACCAAAGTGGTGCCGAGCTTCCGGCTTAATTCCCGAGCAAAAACCTTGAGTTCAGACGGGCCGTTGGAATTCAAGGGGTGTGGTTGTTTTCCCACTGGTTTTAAATTTTCATCCGGCTTAATTCCCGACCAAAACTTTTAAATTCCGACGGTTCGTCGGAATTTAAGGGTGTTCTTGTTTGATCGATTTTGTTTATCCCGGGCATCTGACTTAATTCCCGACCAAAACCCTTAAATTCCAACGGTTCGTCGGAATTTAAGGGTGTTCTTGTTTTATCGATTTTGTTTTATCCCGGGCATCTGGCTTAATTCCCAAGCAATACCCATTCCTACGGTTCGTCGGAATTTAAAGGGGTTCTTGTTTGATCGATTTTGTTTATCCCGGGCATCTGGCTTAATCCCCGAGCAATACCTTTAAATTCCGACGGTTCGTCGGAATTTAAGGGGGTTCTTGTTTTATCGAGTTTGTTTATCCCGGGCATCTGGCTTAATTCCCGACCAAAACCCTTAAATTCCAACGGTTCGTCGGAATTTAAGGGTGTTCTTGTTTTATCGATTTTGTTTATCCCGGGCATCTGGCTTAATTCCCAAGCAATACCCATTCCTACGGTTCGTCGGAATTTAAAGGGGTTCTTGTTTGATCGATTTTATTTATCCCGGGCATCTGGCTTAATTCCCGAGCAATACCCTTAAATTCCGACGGTTCGTCGGAATTTAAGGATTTTTGTTTTTGTTCACGGGGTTTTTATTCCCTAGTACCCAGATGAATTTCCAAGTTAACCCCTTGAATTCCGACGGTTTGTCGGAATTTCAAGTTTTGTGTATTTTTTCCCACCGAATATTTTAATTCCCGAGCATCCGGCTTAATTCCCGAGGACAACCCTTAATTCCCGAGCAAAAGCCTTAAATTCCGACGATTCGTCGGGAATTAAGGCTTCACAAAAAACGCATGACTGAATTCGCTGATTTCGACATGCCAAGGGCCTTAAAATCATTGATTTCAAGGCCCTTGGCGTGTCGAAATCAGCGAATTCAGTCATGCGTTTTTTGTCAAGCCTTAATTAATTCCCGACGAATCGTCGGAATTTAATGCTTTTGCTCGGGAATTAAGGGTTGTCCTCGGGAATTAAGCCGGATGCTCGGGAATTAAAAAAATCTTTGAGAAATATCAAAAACAAATATAATTCCAACAAAAAGTCAGAATTTAGGGGTTTAACTAGGAATCTTAGCCGGATGCTCGGGAATAACAAAAATCGGTGTAAGAACAAACAATCCCTAGTGCACAATGACTCTTAATCCCATTGCTGGTCCATTGCTGGTACAACACAATGAGCCCCTTAAGTTCCCTGGCGTTCAAGATTTACGTTTCGCAAGCAAACTACACAAACCCATGAATCGTCAGACCACCAGAGACCTCGCCACGATCTTCTCAATCACCCCGTGTGCCAGCCTGTTGACTCAACGTGAGTCACACTGATTGTTTTCGCCCTGCACTGCTCACGGCAGCACTGCTGGCGGGCACCGCATGCTTTGGGTGTCAATCGCCTCGTCGAGCCTGTGCTGTATAAGATAAGGTAAGACCAGACAAAAGTAATGTATAAGCATAAAGGTAAATACGAATACAACAACGACAATAAAATAAGGCCAGTGATAAAAGATAATGGTATGGTAGTTTAGATAGAAGCAGGCAACATAAGATATAATAAGTTTAAGTAGGGTAACATGTAAAGGTTTACAACACGTAGTCTGGATCACGAAACAACATGTCGCGACTCACGACATGTAAGGAGCGACGAAGTTCTCGCGAGCAGAATCAACTGCAACCTCTTTTTCCCAAGCCAGCTTCTCAAAAGACCAAGCCAAGTCCGCCAGAGACTAAGATCCCCAAGTTGACAGTTCCAACCGGTTGTTTCCAACCCAGCCAGATATCAATAATCTGCAAACAACCCACACTCGTAAGTATTACAATGATTGCATTCGGCGGCCAGGAGACGAATCTGAATCGGTTACTGCTGACATGTCTGTATGCAAACAAGATGCTCCGCTGACGTACCTAGCGAGGCGGCATCTGTCGGAATCGCCTCATTCTTGCGCTACGGCGACTGGTACGTTAGTGTGGGGTTACGACCGGGGTCAAGGATAGTCGAAGGATGTGCGGTATCATCTTACAAGCCGGAATCCTGGAGATACCGCAGAAAATCAAGCTCAAACTCTACCCACATGTCGACTCCTGGAAAGACAGGTGCTGACAAGTTGCAACATGCAGGTGTTTCAGGCGCAGATCCTCCGCGCTCTCATTCGAGCTGCGTGGCAGCATGAATCCTGGCGCAAGACGAAACAGCCACAGGATTGGACTCGTAACTTAAATGGATGGTGGGTTTGACAGAGGAAGGGACACGAGCAAGCGGTGTCATGTTGCCATGCCACCCACCGATCGCAGAGACAACATCAACACCCTCTCTATGTGTCACCTGGACCTGAACCAACTTTGATCTTATCACTCAGACCCTCGACCCTTGACACATGCAACGCAAAACGACCGGCAATATTTACTAAATTGAAATCGGTGGTCCTTGCAATATCCAATACTTGAGCCTGAGAAGTACAGTTTCCTCGTCTGGTTGGTTGATCTGCATGGATTTGATGCAGCGATGAATGCGCCCGTCGGCAGATTTGTAGCTGCGCAGGTCGCATTGGCAGTAGTAACCTGGTACCTCGTTTTGTTTACACGAAGGGTTATCAACACGACTTCACATGTCTCAGATCGCATAACAGACTGCATAATCATAACATTCAGGGGGGAACCTCAATCCGCGAAACTCCCTACCACCCCCTAAGGCTCCCGAAGCTCTAGTCATGAGCCCTGCCATCCACCTTTGAACCATCAGGAGCCAAACCTTCGAGGGGATACCGGTCTCCATGTTTGCATGATCAGCACATTTGCGAGCTGAGGTACAGACCCGTCGTGTCGTTTCACGATTAGGAACCGGCCACCAGCGACAGACACCGTGGATTCTGCGAACCGAGACGCCGCGACCGCAGGACCTGCATGGGCTCCGATTCCAGATCCCGACGCAGGGTCTCGACGGGCTCGCTTTGATTGTTGAGGCAATTCATCGTCTGAAAATTCATATGGTTCCTCTGGCCCATCTGGAATCGCACCACGCTCGATCCTGGGCTCCGTCGCCATTGCCACTGCTGGCCCTGCTGGCCCTTGTTTGCCGGGGTTGGTATCCGGACCATCAGCAATGTCATCGGCACCATGCACATCAAAGATTCCTGTCTGCAACTGCTATCAGCATCGTCTTTGAGAATAATGACAGAAAAAATGGAACCCATACCCGCATGGCCCGTGTGTATGTAGAGAAGAAGAGAGGAAGTAAGTGAAAGAGAGAGAGAGAGAGAGAGAGAGAGAGAGAGAGAGAGAGAGATGCATATATATATATATATATAAACCCAACATCATACCAAACCACACCATACCAAACCTCACTTTCAAACACCTCATCGCCTTTCAGAACGATCCTACGAAACACCCGGAAGGACCCCGAACCGAACCCTGAACGAAGAGGTCCGGACCGCAGCCTTCATAGCCCAACCCACCCCGCATAACGACAAACCAAAGCCCGCGGAGAGCGAGAGAGAGAGAGAAAGAGAGAGAGAGAGAGAGAGAGAGAGAGAGAGAGAAAGAGAGCGAAAGACCTACCTCGCGTAACACGACCCAACCGTGGCCACAGACTTCTATTTTCTTGTCAAGCTGAAACCCACAAATAACATCAACGCCCTGGGTTTTGGATTTGCTAATGCGATGTGGCCTAAGCATTTTAGCGGTTAAGGTGCCACTGTCGTCATCCATCAACCGTGCTGCTGCTCTGGACGCTGAAGCTGCTGACGGGGCGGCAGGCGCTTCCGAGCGGCCCATAAGTATGTCATAGAACACTTTCGGCTGGTTGGGTTTCACATCCTGGATCTTGCTCTTCTCGATTCCCAGTAGGCACCGATAGTACCTTGCATGACGTCTTGGACAATCTTGGACACCATGTACTTTGTTTTTACAGGTTCGACGACTCAAACAGACAGAAACTGCCTGACCATTGAGTCTGCAGACAAGGACCAGGACTACGAATCCGTAACAACAAAGAAGCAAACAACCCCCAATCCAAAGGCCCTAAATCCTAAAATAAGGTACATACTTGCACGTCGAATGGCGCATCAATCTGGAAATGGAAAATTTCTGGGGCTTTCAATTCGTCGGCCACAAGCAATGACTGAAGATAACTTCTGAAAGGGGCTTTGGAATCCTCGACGTAGAAAATCTTCTTCCTGGCCTTAAGCTTGTGCGGAACGATCTTATTTGCGGGTCGAGAGCCTTTGGACTCTTGCTTCCATCCTTTCACTGCAAGCTGATTCAGGAGCTCGGCGACTGTCATCTGGTCTGGGGGGATATTCCGACAGTACTCGCCTAGCTTCTTGGGGTTGCCGAGGCAGATTGGTAGAAGCAAGGCCTGCCGTGCTTTGTCAGTCATTGTAATGAAATCATTTCGGTCCTGCTTTGATCTGACGACATAGCCCTGCTCCATCAAGTCAGTCACATCGCCAGGTGCAACATCACCACAATAGAAATCCGTCCCCCTGTTCTGGAAGCTGCCACTATCTGCCATTCTGAGCAGCAACGTCTGCGATCCAGAAGACCTCAACAAATTTCAGCTCATTGTTCAATGCTCATTGACTCACTGATGTTACTTCAAGTACAGTGGAGCCGGCAAGGGCTCCAGGTGCGTCGCTATGACTCTTCAGGCCGCCTAATTCCTGACCAACTGTGCTGCAGCAGGCCCGACAAAGGCCAAAGAGTGTAATAGCCACAGCATAATGAAGAAATGGGCAGGAAGTGAAGTGCACAGCTCATTGTCGAATCAAGGAAAGACTTCAACCAGACTCCCTGGAAACCTACTTCAAACTCCAAACCGCGAAATCATCCGGCAATTCCTGACTGCAGCCTGCAGCCCAGAGACAAAGATGACTGGAGTGGAGGCATGATGATGTGTTGAGAGTACGCACGCGATGTCCAGACAGTCACCTCCTTCAGAATGTCCGGGCTCTTCATGGAAAGCAACCTGAAACGCAATGCACGATCAGACTAGCATGTGAACTCATACAAACCATACAGCCCAGCACAACAACGATCTTGCCAATCCAACAAGATTGCCGAAGAACCAGGAGGTGGCCTGAACCCGGGTTGGCACAGGAACGACAGTCACAAAGGACACCTTCCGCTGTTCCGAATCGTATTGAGCATCGACAACTTTGTAAATCTGAGCCATGAGCTCTACCTCGCGCAAGGAACTGAGATCCCCAATGAAGGTGTGATTTGGAAGGTTGTTGCACACGATTCTGAAGAAGGTTCTGTCTTGAACGTAGAGATCGAAGAGAGACCTTTCATCAGCAGAACCTGATGCCGCACTGCTGCTCGCAGGCGCAGGCACCACTGATAAATTCAGTGCAGAATCGTCATCTTCCAGGGGCCGGCCAACGACACCTTGAGACACATTGCAATGCAAAGGCGAAACTATAATTCATGAACCGCATGCCCTATGCAGCTTCTGGATACCTTAAACCGATCCCTTATACTGCGCTGAACCCCAAAACCCTATAGTATCCCTCAAAAATCCCTTAATGGACCCTCTTAAAGGAACTCTAAACGGATCCCTTATACTACCCTTAACCTTGCTTTAAGACCCCTCAAAAATAGATCCCTTGTAATTAGTAACCCTTGTAGACCCCTGCAAAGGAACCCTGACTGTTGCAACATAACTTAGCACGCCTGGTGCCGTTGCGACTGCCGAAGTCAGCTGCTGGAGGGGTCGCGACGTTGCATTGAAGTCACTCGTCAGCATGGAAAGAACGACCGTCGCATTGCTGGTCCTGCAGACCTTGCAGCCGCCGAACCGCTGAACCACACAAGGCTACAAACCTGTAGTCGGAGTCTACGTAAGAATCTCGAACGATCCGATTGGACGACTGTGCGTGGAATTAGGGTTGGGTGTTATCGCGTATTATCGCAGGGCATGCAGTCCACCTCCAAAGCTTGCTTGAGGAGCGCCACTACCTCCCAGGACGTCGGAGGCTTCGGCTTGAGCGCAGGTTTCGACTTCACCATGTTGGGCAAAACATCGGCAACCGGAAGCACTGACTTGACGTCGTGGTGTTTCACATGGATGTTGTCCCGGTACAGCAGCCGCGACACATGATGATCCTCCATCTTCATGAGCTCCTGCTTGCGGCATTCGGACATGCCCAGCACCAACGCAACCGCGGAGCGCCATCCTTCCTTCTTCTCGAAAGGGTTCTTCTCATTCATGAACGCTGCAGACAAGTCTCGCAAGGCCTTAGGACCCGTGGACGGTGGAATGACAAATGTACACGACACACCTTAGGTCATTACCTTTCCACAAAAAGGGTTTGGTTCTTGATGCGGTGCGCAGTCAACGCATCAGTGTGATTCTGATTTGATGCTGACAAGCCCAACCAGCAAGCCCGGCCTCCGGGCTTTCCAGCAGCAAGCGACAAAGGTTCTCACATCGCAATTCAAAGCTGAGGGCGGGGAGCTTAATGGAAGGCGACCTGCGGATATGCCTCACGCTGCGAGCGTGCCAGCCCTCGATAGGACGTTCTACAATTTTCATGAATGTGAAGCCGCACAGCCACGATTGAAAGCATTCATTGTCGATATCATCGACACGCTTGGTCCCATTGGCAAGATCTTCCACCTGCCAGAGATTCGGATGCGGAGACGTGACATAAGGTTCAAGCTTCTGGAAAAACTGCGTGTTACACGATTACACACCCATCTCTCTCTTTCTTTCTTTCTTTCACCAGGCATGAGGGGAAAGCCCCCACCAAGGGGCTGCCCGGTATTACATACGGTAGGCTATAACTACGGGCTCTCCCTATCTCTCTCTCCTCTCTTTCTTTCCTCTCTCTCTCTCTCTCTCTCTCTCTCTCTCTCTCTCTCTCTCTCTCTCTCTCTCTCTCTCTCTCTCTCTCTCTCTCTCTCTCTCTCTCTTTCTGTCTCTCTCTCTCTCTCTCTCTCTGATATTCTTCCTTCGTGTTTGTATTCTTGTTTTTGTGTTTCTCTCTCTCTCTCTCTCTCTCTCTCTCTCTCTCTCTCTCTTTCTCTCTAAATATTACTTGTTTTCATGTCACTCATCTAGCAGCTCTAGCAGAATCTTGCCTGACATATACGAGCCCACAAGCCCAGTGGTCTGAGTCTGAGTCTGGGTCTGGGTCTGAGTCTGAGTCTGAGCCACAAAAGGACGGAGTGGCTCTTCTCGATCGTCCGAAGAAGGTCCACGCCAAGCAGGATCCAAGAATCGCATGCTTTGTTGGTGCTCCGACCCTGGCGAGCGCTCATCGAACATCTTCAATGCTGTCTTCGCCGCCCTCATGACCTGACTGGGATGAGGATGTGCGAGAGCACAAAGCAGATGAGGCAGCTGGCCCCAGTGAGCAAGTTTCAGTGTCAGCTCAACTTCAATCTTGGAGCGTGCGTGGTCCCAATCGTGTCTCAAACTTGTCTGCTCCGACAAGGGAAGCCCAGCTAGGTGACTCAGCACATTTTGTTGCGACATCCAGAGAACTCTACGGAACAGCCGGAGACCGTCTCCGGCCGCAAGCTCCGGCGCACGACAACATTGAAACTCACAAGTAGGTGGTTTCGGCAGTTTGTACCTCTCGCCCTTGGGAGTCGTGTGCCAAGCGAGGCGATGTTCCTCGTGACAAGGGCAGCCTTCACTCCAACGCCCCAGGTATTCGGCTTGATAGCCTATCTCGTGGATGACTCTGGCCGTGCTCCAAAAAACGGGGTTGTCTATGACCATTTGGATAGCGTCAGCATCCTCCCCGAAGTCGTCTATGGTGTCGGCCAACACAGGGCGAGTGTCGGGATTGCGGCGGTCGCGTTGAAGGAACTTTTTCTTGTCGAAGTAACGCCGCAAAATTGGCTCAATCGACAACATCTGATGGCAACGAGGTGTGAGGACAACGGGGCATGCAGGATTAAAGGTACTCGGCACCGGTAGCCAGTAGCTGGAAGCCTAACTAGTAACTAGTAACTAGGCCTAGGGAACATGTGCCGGTTTCCCCTGCTGCCTCCTGACTGAACTCGACAACCACCTCCCAGCGTAACGATTTCAACTTAATGCTCCAGGTATTGAGCATCTCACACTCCACCGTCATATGAGCAGGTATGCAAGTGGCTTGAAATCTTTCCCTCGCCAATGGTCTGGTCAACAACTTCGCGATGGTGCGAAGATCTTGCAAATACTTCTCCCAACTTGGACCGCACTTCATGCAGGGCTGACAAATATCAAATATGTGTCGTTTCGGTCCAACCTACCGTACTTCCGGACCTACCAATGCTATATTATATCGAGACCGAGACTTCCTGGCACTGGCACGACAACACCTCTCGCTGATTCGTAAGCTAAGCCAAGCTGCCATTTCATCTCAGTAAAGGCCGATTGCATCAAGTTGTCACATATGTGCTTGGGTCCCGCAATCTTCATAGCGTTGGGGTACCTTGCAGCGGACTGGAACCACATTTGGTTCTGATTTGGAATGAGGCCTCATAAGCGCAACCAGGTTTCAATCTGTCTGGCTCTGAGTCTGGAGTTGGAGAAGCATGAACATCGGCAGCTGCGCCAGCAGACATGGTCGCAAGACTCGATGCTCCGACTGCGTTGCTGGCCTGTTAATACTTTCTTTCAGGACTGCGCAGCAAGCAAAAATGACACGACTCAAACCAAATTACTTGATCATGTGTCATGTGGTCAAGCTGTAGCACTGTAGCGGCCCAGCTGATGCCTCCGCAGATGCCCGCACAGGCACAGCCACTGCATCACGATCACCAGGCGCCCTTGCCACTGCCGACATTACCTCCACAAGGCTACGAAAAAAACGGACACACTCGGGCAGTCGAGCACTCGAATCTGGCAAATCTGCCGTCAACATATGCCCCGCCCAAATAACACATCCCCCAGGCAAATCCCCAGCCCAACTGCCTCTGCCGCCTCTGCCTCTGCGATCGCAATCGCCGGCACGCCTGGGAAAAGAAGCGGGTTTGCCATTGATGCCGTTACACAATGCTGTTGCGACTGTTCACTCACACGGTCACACAACTGGCTTCTTCCATGCAAATCTAAAGTCCTACTCCCTCCTACTGCTGCTGCTTGGCCAGGTTAGGACAGCCAGAGCAGCAATATACTGTAATATACTTCATCCATTCAACTCCACAGCCATTCGATCGGTAAAGTTCCTCGCGCCAAGCCTCGTGCTCCTCCTCTTCACAATTCACACCCCCTAGCTCGACGGTACCTTGTAATGCCAAGTCACTGTCGGTCAACATTCCGTCAGTGTCATTTGCAATGGGCACGTGGTCGCCGGAAGATGCTGCAGGCACTCCCTTCCGGTTGAAGGCATCTTTCAATTTGCTGGTATCCACATTCGCAGCGTCGCCGATCTGGAACTCTGCACCTCCACTGAGCAGTACTCTCTGTATTCTGTACTTATTCTCTGCGTCTTGTTTATAAATGAGATATATGAAAAATCAATCACAAATATATTTGCGAATTGATAATCAAATGCGGCAGGCAACACTCGGACACAGTCTTCGTTTTAACTCGCAGTGGGAGCTGACAGATCGGTACCTTGCGAGGCCCAACGGCAGGGTTAGGCCATAAAGAACAAGGAGTGAAACTGGCAAAAGGAAAAAGGCGAAAAGCCAAAGGGTGAGGAGGGTGGGCGAAAAGCGAACTGAAGCCGAAAAGGCAACTGGAAAACAGAGCTTGGCAAAAGTTCAGCATGAAAAAGGATGGAAAACAACCAAGGTTGGAAAAGCCAAGTTGTTGAAAACAAGACTTGAGAATAAAAATCCGTCCTCCTTCGGAGGAAGTTCTTCTTATTCTCTGCGTCTTGTTTATAAATGAGATATATGAAAAATCAATCACAAATATATTTGCGAATTGATAATCAAATGCGGCAGGCAACACTCGGACACAGTCTTCGTTTTAACTCGCAGTGGGAGCTGACAGATCGGTACCTTGCGAGGCCCCCCCTTGAAGAGAACCGCAAAGATCGGTCAGCAAGGATTGCACATTGAAGCGCCGCCTGGAAAAGGCGGGAAAACTGTGGTCGCCCCGCGAAGGGGCATCTGCAGGATTGCTTTCACTGCGAACACGCTCGAACCAGATCGCAAGATCACGCTCTTCTTCAGCCTGAAAGAGGCGGGAGAGAAGAGACTGCACGAAAGGGCAATCGGATTGTCCTCGGATGAGAGCCGCCAGTGAAGCTTCGTTGTCAACGAAGAGCACAATGTCGCAGTGGCGCAGGTTAGGGATTAGGGTGGCACCCAAGACCGCGGCAAGGGTTTCTAGCTCGTAGATCAAGGTAAGTTTACCATCAGGGTTGATGATCTCAAGGTCCTTGGAGGTGACTACTTCACTAAACCAGGCAAGGCACAGACCCTTAAAGTCGTAAACCAAACCACCAAGGCCACCCCCTTGATCGTCGTAGGAAGCGTCAGTGTACACGTGATACACTTGTCGAAGACTCGAGTCTACACACCTTGGTTTGCCAAGAACTACACGGTCCCTCAAGAAAGTCAAGGAGGCCCTTAAGCTAGCACCAACCACAAGTCTGCCGTGCTTTTGACAGAAGTGCGAAAGGTTGCGCATGTGAAGCGAAGCTGATCGTCCAAAGATTTGACTCTCGGCAAACAGGAGTCGCCCTCGTAGAGAGAGAAGCTCATTTTGGCCAACAAAGCCTCGGGTCAGGACCTCATCGATGGATGAGCAGAGTTCGCGTTTGCGGGCCTCGGTGTTCTGGACTGAGATCAATCCATTCTTAGAATCAGCCAAGGATATTTGCACTCCTAAGACTTTGGCTACTGCATCAAAACCACTGTCTTTTTCGGAGGACGTTTCCCAGGCAACGATCCTGAAAAATGTTGACTGGACTAAGTCAAGATGTTTTTGCTCGTCGGACGAGCAGGGTAAGACGAAATCGTCAAAATACAGAGACCATGGCAGGATCAGGCTCCGGACTCCGATCCACCAAAGGCCGAAGGCAGTTCTGTAGAATCCCTGAACGGCCGGCTTGCTGCCGAAGGGCAGCACAACTGTCTGGTATATTTCAATTTCCATGCTGTGAGGGTTAAGCACAGCTATGAAAGAATCATACAAAGCTTCAGTGCTTAAAGGAAGTTGCTTATAGGCCTTTCTAAGGTCTATCGTCCTAAGAACAAGTTGCTCGCGCTTGCCAAGTTTCCGGGCCGACCTGATGCGAAGGCACAATGCTGCGACCACAACGTCCACCCCGTGAGGGCAGATCGTCTCGCTAGCACTGTTTGTGAGATTAGCAAGAGATTCCGTGTAATCATCGATTGGTCTCACCTTCTTGATTGACCCTAGCTTGGCATCGGTGGAGGATTGCACTATCCCAAACCTTCTAGTGACTATGGCATCCGGGGGGATGTCCGATTCCTTAAAAGGTCCTTTAAGCCACCCTTTCGCAAGCTCATCTTTCGTAAGCTGGTAAACACTTTCAGCCACCTCGCGGTCGAAACCTTCTCTGGTAGAGGCAAGGATGGCCTTCCTGGCAAGGGGAGTGGCTGCACGAACATCCTCAACGGTAAGCGAGGCAGCGGAAACCTTAGAGGGAAGGACTCCAGATGCGGGTATGGGGCCTAGAAGGTTAAACCCAGTTGAGATGTCCTTGGTCAAGGTTGTGTCCGGGTACTCGGCCTCAGTCAAGAGCGATTTGAAGACCTTCATAGATTTCTTACCAAGAACTGCGGCACAGTGGTCGGGCATGTCGGAGGGATCTGCACGGGATGCCGCCTCCTCGGAGGTAAGCATCCACCTCCTCAACGTAGCAGTGCGTTCCCTGGCAAGGTCGGCAGGTGACTCCTGGGCGCATCGCACAATGGTCTCTTTTAAAATCTTTGGCACACCATTTTCGATACGCCTGGGGTGTAGAGCTCCGCGAGCCTGTTTGACGAACTCTTCTGGGGTCCACGCGATACCATAAGTTCGCTCCTCATGCGGGGCTGCGCCAAGAGAGTGGCCATCGCCAGGCTTCGAACAGGCATCAAGCAGGGCGCCAGGTTTTAAGGAGTCGTCCACAGGGGAGGAAGGGGCTAAACCCGAACTATCAGAAGGGGCTAAACCCGAATTATCAGAACCAAGTTGTCGAGTAGCACTGCAGGGACCCCCAGCAGACGGCACAGTGCGAATCAGCTTGGCGGTCTTGGGTAGCCGCTTTAAGGAGGGCTTGCACAAGACTTTATCAGGAATGGCCCAATCTTCCGAGAGTTGCTTCGGGGGCATAGCACAAGAAGGGCCAGTGACCGTGATGATGGACTTGTACTCAGAGACCAAAGGCGGAACACGTTTGCCTTTGGGTTGCTTTCCGGAGGCAACCTGAGCGGCTCGTGCCAACGGGAGCCCAAGCTCCTGAAGTTCTGCTGCTGGAAACCGAGCACCCTGGTGTTGCAATTCAACAGCAAAGGCCCTTGCTACCATGGCACAAAGCTGACCAGGGGACGAAGACAAAGGCAACGCCGGATTTGGTGGTTTGCATCCCCCTCCACACGGAAAGCTAAGGCTTGACAGTGCAGGGAAGTTGTGAAGCAGGCGCCTATGCTGACACAGCCCGTCGTGCACGAAGCAAGGACTGTAGTGGGGGGAGATTTGCGGACAGGCACCCCGGAGGTCACGAAGTTTCCAAAGGTTGGAGCTGCACGGGGCGTCAAGGCAGCAAAGAAGACCATTGGCGCAACACTCCGTGTAAATGCTTACTGCAAGGTCACTGAAGTTGGAAGGAGGTGACATGTGCACAGCAACAACATTATCCTTCGAAAGGATGTCTCGCAAAAGCGAAATGCCACTGTCAGTGGAAAGATCCAACGGAACAACAGGAGCCCGAGTGTTTCGGGGATGACGATTGATTGCAAAGCCTTGCATGCCGAGGCTGCGCACAGCCGCACACACACCACCATGCCTGGCAAAGATTTCAAGGAATGCTAGGTCACTCGAGGGACGGTTAGAGATACGCAGTTTAACTCTGTCCAAGAAGGGTTGCACAGTTGGCGGAAGAGGCTCCAGCACAGGAGCACCATCGGTACCACACTCAATGGAAGGCAAGGGCACACCCAAGGATACAAGAGCACTGCGACAAGCCAGAGGCATCGACTCGTGTCTAGCAACCGAGAACCCGACTACCACTACGCGAGACCCCAAAAAAGGCATTGTGCAGTGTCTGTGTTTCCAAGCATCGAAAGTGAGATGACTGAGGGAGACCTCGTGCAGCTGTCCATGAAGTTGGGCACCTGAAGGATCGGTCACTGGATGAGGTCCCTCTCCCTCAAGCCAAAGTTGGCCACCTGAGAAGGAGTTGACCCCAATCAACAGATTGGGAAGGTGCGCGTTGTAGCTGTCGCGATGCAGGGCTGTCTGCGAGTCGACAAAGAGAGCAGCACTGGTGCACTCGAAGGAAGGACTGATGGTTCTGATGAAAGCAAAAAGCAGAGAAGACGAAAATGGAAAGGATTTTACATTAGATCGAAGGGCCGTGATACCACCTTTGGTGTACAGACCCGTGGTCCACGATTGACCGGCACTACCTAAATCCCGAGAAGGCTGAGGAGCATCAAAGGGAAGAAGTGTGGAAAGATGCAAAACGTCCTTGCGCGAAGGAGCGGTGCCAGATGTCAATACACCCAGCGAAAATTCCTCGGCCGGATGTTTAACCTCGGCAGAAGCATCAACCTTGTCAGGCAGCAAAGGAAAAATGTCATCTAAGATGGGGATAGGGGAGCTTGCACAAGGAGCCGGTACCTGAGGTGCCTCGTCAGTGCAGGTCTCCCCGGACTCGCGCGAGAGTCAAGAAGCAGAAGCTGCAGGGCATTCGAACTGGGGGTGAGGCTTCTCGCAGCGCATGCACAAGTGAAGACCGAAGCGACAAGCTTTGCCAGCCTCAGCATGGCTGCACCCCCTGTCTTTGATGTTGTATGCCCAACAAAGTCGCTTGCCTTTCGAGGTCTTCTTCTTAAGGTTTGGAATGTTCTTGAGGGCATCAGGAAGCTGGGACTCTTTGCGAGGCTGGCCTTCAGAGTCCCTCTTGATACCTTTATCAAGGCCCTTACCATTGCCCTTATCCGGATTCGGGATCTTCTGAGGAGGATCAGGCGACCTCAAAGGAAGGAGGTTGAACAGGACAGCAGGGTCAGTGCGAAGACCCGGGAAGGCAGCATCAAGAGGCAACACGCCGGCACTATCCCTCTTAAGCGTCTTAACCGTCTCAGCCAACTGAACCCAAGCCTGACGATCAGCCCTCAACAATTGCTCCATGGAAACTTTGCTGCACCTCGGAGGGGGAGGCTGAGCCATGCGATCGAACAGAAAGCGGTGCCAAGATTCTTGCACCTGGAAGCTGATGGCACCCATAAGGTCACAGGCTAAGCTCCGACGTGTAAGAGCCTGCCAGAGCTGAAGTTCATTGGTGATCTGGCAACGATCACGACTCTGCTGATCACGAACAGTGAGCTTGGTGCCCCCATCGAGCACGATCTCACGCTTGGGCTTTTCTCTGCAAACCTCCTGTTGCCTGGTGATGAACCTATGGGGCTCCAAGTAAATTGGTGAGTCGGCTTCAAGCATGGAGCCCACAAGAGTGTAGCAGGAGTATGCGCACTCCATCGCGCCGGTTAACTCAAAACCGACAAGCCTGGTCTTTTGAGCGGCAATGCGGCTGGTGCGTTCAGCAGGCGGGAGGTCGTACTTCTTGTCTCCCTCATGCCCTTCGACTGAGAGCTTAAGTTGCTGCACAACACAAGTCTGACACTCAAACACACAGCGTCGAATGGATGATAAGGCACCAACTGAAACAGCTTCAGGAGTGGCAGTATCCAAAAGCTGACGAAGGGCAAGCTCCGTAGGCTGCACACCCGGGGTGGTGACAGCATAGGCCAATGACGACATCGTCGAGACACCTTTCCCTTTCAGGATCAGCAGCTGTGCACTTGAAAGGCCACATTCCGTGGCAAGTTCTTCAAATGCCGCCTCAGATTTCAGCAGGGACATGGCTGATACTACACGATCCTAGAGCCCAAGCTTCGTGAACGATGCGATGGCTCCGAAGAGGAAGTGGCGAAAAGCCACACAAATCAGCAGCAACTCTCGAGACTGCTCCCGAGTAATGGGTGACAAACCCATGCTCCGAAGAGGAAGTGGCGGAAAGCCACGCACTTTAGAAGCAACTCCCGGAAGCAACTCCCGAGCTTCTGAAAGATGGGTGTCAAACCCATGCAGCGGGAAGCCGCTCATAAGAAGATCTCTTCAAGATTCAAGTGAAGTAATACTTCGCACAAGAAGAAGGGTGACAAACCCGACCATGAAGTCGCACCGGTCAGTGGAAGCGGCGGAAAGCCGCGCGCAACAGTCAGCATGCGGAGGCAGATGAGTGACAAACCCAGTCACGATTTCTTTTCTCAGCAGCCGACAAGGCGCGTCAGGTTTAGGCAGAGAGGTGCCCAACACATTGCCATTTTTCCTTCTGAAGGAAAGTTAGCACAGCACGTTAAAAGAATTTTCTTGACTCCGAAGGCCCAGCGCACTGGGATGTCAACGCTTGCCCAAGGCAGCATCAAGCGCACCGACAAGGGCGCCGGTGTTGCTAATCGGCTTTCTCTGAGCGCATTGCTTGCAATCCCAAGCGGTGATCTTGACCAAGGTCCTGAAGGGGCGATGGTCTTTGGTGAGAGGCCTGCCACAGACAAACTTATCATCGCTCGAGTTTTCAAGCATGCGATGCACAGTCTTTGTCCTGCAATGCTGGTAAAGCTTGCATCCCTCCACGACGTGATGCCTCAATCTGCATGCTAAGTCGCTTGCTGCCTGGACCTTTTCATCAGCACTTGTAGAGCTCGAAGAAGAGCTGGAACTCGAGCTCGATTCAGAGTCTGAACCGCTGCCATCTCGGTCCCCCTCCGCATGGGGATCATCAGAAGCCCCCGTTTCGGGCGGAGGGTCTGAGAGACCCCGGGGCTCAAGCTCACTGCCACGGCTCGCGTTGATGAAAGCATCGACGTCGGCATCCTCCAGCTCTTGGTTGCGGTACCACGCCAACTCCTCATCAGGGCCAACCTCGCTGCCCATGCTCACAGGCTCTTGGACCTCACCTAAGGCGCCGAGGCAGAGGTCAGGGCTGAGGGCCCCATCAGAGAAACCAGGAAGAGCATCAAGGGCCGGCTCCACTCCTGGATCATCGACTTGACGGACAAAGCGGCCAGAGCGTGTGCAATCAGGAAGGAAAGCTCCAGACCGAACGTCACACAGAAGAGACCACAGCACTCTCAAAGGCCCAGCCTGAAGATCTCTGCTGTAAGTGGCTACGCTTTTGCTCTTAGGCATGTGATGCCCAAGAATGGCCCTGTCATCCTCAGAGCCGCCCCATTTGGCCAACCAAGGAAGTAAGGTAGACTTTGCTGTGTGGCCGGTGAAGTGACCTCCGAAGAAGGGGAGATCCTTAAGGATGCCATTGATCCACACCACGAAGGCTTCATTCTTGATTGGATGGTTGAGCAAGGAGCCCACAGACGTGGGCACACACAGCAGCGCGGAACCATCGTCCTTCTGAAGAAGGTCTTGATCCACTTGCCGTGCAACCTCCAAGAAGTCAAGCCCCCAGATGCGAGGCCCCAGTCCTTTAACGTGAGCCACAAGAGGCAACCTGAAGCCGAGCGCATTGCTAAGAGACTTAGTCTTATGGCTATAAGAGTAACACTCCAAAAACCCTTCGGCGCAGTCTGCAGATGGCTCTGCAAGGTCAAGCGTGAACCTTGACACGGACTTCAAGTCGCCTAACCTCGCCCTGGAGAAAATCGCAAAGAGCATGCAACCAGCGGCAAACCGGTCCAAAAGAGCATTGGATTCGGATGCAAGGAAACCCTCGAGGTGAAGCACTTCTGCAACGAGAAACGAGCGAGCCTGCTTCCTGGGAGGCTTGTTCAATCTCTCGCGACGAGCACGTCCTGTCAGGACCGGGTCAGACCGGAGAGGCTCATTAATGAAAACACCAAGGACATAGATCGCAAAGTTGAAAGACTCAAGGTTGCTGGACACTGATCCATGCCCTTTGGTCTTCACTGCAAACTCGGTGTATTGCCGAACAAGATCCGAAGAAAGGGGGAAGCCTATGCATCCTGTGTCGTTGCACCAAGTGACGTACTTGGATAATTGCCCGTACCTTTTCTGGAGGGTAGACAGGGCTTTACCCCCAAGTGCATCCGAGACAAGTTGCGTTCCCTTCTCAAAAGACTCCTTGGCAAGTATCCCCCCTAGCCTAGAACCCGAATAAGAGTGCGAAAGCAACACATGGAACCTCTGGCAAAGCAGCTCACGTTTATCAAGAGGGCTGATCGGAGCCTTCACCACTCTGACCTTTTGAGAAACGGCTTTGAAGAAGCTGCAGGATCGAGGCTCCGGCTTTGCGAGCTTCTCCGCTTCACCCAGGCTCGAAGCTGAAGAAATGGGAATATCAAAAGGAAATTTCACTGACGGAATGCTTGGGGCAGCATGCTCCGGGCAGAATATCTCCTTAAGAATGCCTGACTCCCAGGGCAGCTCCAGATCACTGGAGCCAGCGACACTGTGTCTGGACTCAAGCAGCATACGATCTATGCTCTTAAGAAGGTTAGAGCGAGCCCCTGGGCCTGATGATGAAGCTGAAGTCGAGGAGCCCCCAGCAGAAAGAGACTGAGGCTGCATGTTG